TTTTGGATCAAGCAGAAGTTCTCTTTTAACTTGCTGCTGTCCAGTAAGTTCGTCTTGGCCTTGTTTTGGTTCTTCGTCTTGTTCAGGCTCAACTTGCTGGGGTTCAGTGGGTTCCTCGTTTTCTTCGCCTGATCCTGCATGTTGTTCCCTCTCTACCCGTTCTTCCTGCAACTCGTCCTCACTATCAACAGCGCTCCCCATTTCTTCTAGATTTTGTACTGTGTTCGATAAAGAAAACACAAAAAGGGAATAAGATTACAAAGTGCTCTCTCTCGTGGCTTTAGTTCGCTAGATCGCCAGATTTGTTGAATAAGCCACGTTGTGCGTTTTGCATTTGGTAACCGTATCGTGTAACCTCTCCATCCTTAGTCATTTGCGTTCCGCTTTTGCTCTTTCCGAATATTTCTTTTCTCTTTAAGAGTAAATGTTATCAATGGTCACACATTTGGTGGCAACAGCTGAAAAATAAATTTCGCACATATTTAAAAAATAAGGTAGGTCTCAATGAGAAATAAATCACTGCATACTTCGTTTGGCTGAATATCGACTTATTTTCGAGAAAATCGATAATAGCTGAGTTTCGCCGAAATGCCGCTTTTGAGGCTCCAAATTTCACAAGAATCTTGGAGAGTCGCGCCACGAATTGAAAACAGTCACTTGGACCAGTGAAAAGTACCAAATCTTGAAAAACAACATTCAACATAGGTTGACAGCAATTTGAGCAATTCTTTATTGTTTATTTACACCATCTAATTGAATTTATCCGATCATCTTCTAGCTAGATCAAAAATAGGTCAAAAGTAGCCCGTTACTGATTAAACTATGTGCTAAACAAGATAATCGACTGAGAATCTGGCTTTTGGAAGGCGAAATGTAGTTCTGTTCGATCTACGGTGCCATCAGTTAGCAGAAAATGTACATATCCACACGCAAACACGGTTGTTTCACATTTTACATCGAAACTACACCTTTTTCAACAGAATATCTTCTTACCCTCCCTGTTGATCTATCTGAATAGAGGATTGCAGTCCTGGAAATGTTGCATCGATCGCTCTCAAAGTAGCGATATAACTTATAAGGATAGTCTCCTGATAATGATTGTTTGAAAGAACTACTCTTTGCCATCCAAAAGCCAGATTTTCAGTCGATTATTCTGTTTAAGAAGTTTTCGTATACTAATTTTATCAATTATATTTTTTGTGAATAATCTTGAATTGTTATTAAACGAAGTGTGTATCCATGAGCTTTTCTTAAATTTTTACTAGACATTTTCACGCATTTTTTTCGATTTTTAAGCATTTTATCCTAATTTTTGTATATACTTTTAGAGATTATAGTGAATAAAAGCTATTCTTTTCCACGATGATACATGTAACTTAATAAATAATGATGAAAAGTAGTCATACTAATAAAAATTAGATTGTGTCTACAAACAACCAAGAACTTAAATTTGAATGTTGTTTTTCAAGATTTGGTACCTTTCATCGGTCCAAGTCTTTTAAATTGGTCACGCGAATTTCGTCTAAAATCTTGAGCTTCTAGAGCGGCATTTCGGCAGAATTCAGTTATTATCGATTTTCTCCAAAATAAATCGATATTCAGCCAAACGAAGTATGCAGTGCTTTGTTTCACTGTAAGGCCCACATGACTTGAAAAAGTGAGCCGAATCGATTTTTCGGCTGCTGCCACATTTCGAAACTGTTCAATTTTTGGCCACATTTGCCCCCTAAAAAAAAGGATTAAGACACAAGTCAACACTCTGGCCATAATACCATTTTACAATACAAGCCCGGAAAAATTAATCTCAGGAGTAGCGAGAGCGTTTTAAAATAAAGGGAAACAAGCAAAAAAGATAATTAGAAGCCAACAAGCTAATTAACTAGAATCTTTGGCTCTTACCAAGGTCTTTACAATACTAGCAGACAAGATAAGTATGTAATCGTGGCTCAACACTATCTAATACAACAACTTCAAAATTAAAAGGAGTGAGGAGAAAAATGACTCATTAGATTCGCCCCAAATAGCAATAGGTATAAACCTACATAAATAAGGAATAAAACCTCCTCTTATGAGGCCGATTTGTTCAAAGCCTACAGAAAAAACGGCGTACGTTTTGGTTTGTTTTGACACGCGCGGGAGTAAATATGGCGGTCAGCCGCTCTCGTCCCGAGTTCTGTTTGACGCAATTACAAACAAACATTTTCACAAGACAGCACATTGTTGAATTCACAATAGAAATGACGAAGCTTGTACACTCACTGAAAATTAGTCAATAATAACCCGCTAGGAGCCTGTAATGGCATTTGGCGCTTCCAGTGTTCGTATGTGACGTCATATTGATAGTGATCATTTGACGGCGGCTTATACCAGAGAGCGATAGAGCCACCCCCTCCCTCCTAGGTGATGTAGATAATTACACAAAATATCATTATAAACTCATAGTTCGTTTACTGGGTGTAATGTAAAGAATTGTACCTTGCGTGGAGTAAAGGCTGACATAGTGTGCTTCAGGGACGTGTCCCAACACAAGTGTCCTGCCTTTGTCAACAGGGCATTGTGGCCGTAAGATAACATCGTGAGAAGCGTTAAGACTGCTGACCACACGAATGCAAGTTTTGTAGCAGTTTGCTGCGGCACATAGAATAACATGGTCACCCCATGCGCCATCTTGCTCCATGTACGTTAAGTAATCAGCCCATGATTGATGTCCATGGACGAAGTGAAACAGATTTGTTCCATTCGGCTGTGAGAAGAAAAAATAGAGAACGAAACTTGGAGTGTAAAGTTAATGGTACACTGGACCAGGTTGAGTAGGTTGGAAGGAGTCATTGAATGAGAAAATAACAAAGAGAAAGTAAACAACAGGAAGAATGGATAATAGCCAATCAGGGCTCATCCTCGGTGTAAAAACCTGTGAAGCTAACGAGTGACGTAAAAGACAACAAAACGAGTGACGTAAAAGACAACAAAACATTATAAACAATAGCATACAGCAAAACAATACCTCATGAGCCATAGAAAACCTCGTCAGGTTTTCATACCCAGGATGACCCCAATCAGAGTAATGAACACAGGGATCTGCATCGAATATCTAGTGCCTACCTTACCTAGAGTCAAAGTTATCCAATTGGGATTGTCCTGTCTGGGGGGGATTCAAGTGCGAGGTAATTTTAAAAAACCTCGGGTTGGCCGCTTTCTCCACATGACAGAGCCATCTAATTTTCACAAGGAGGTTTGAGTTCATCCGTGACCCAAACATGGTCTATACAAAAACACTTGAACAACACAAAGTGTTTTTACGAGCAATCTAGAAGTATCAAACAGTTATTCTCCGAAATAAATGGTGAATAGTGGGTGGGTATCTTCTATGGTAAAGAGGCAAGGTAATTATCCACCACATGGCACTTTCACTGACACTGAGGTAGAAAACTATTTACGTATATACCAGAAGACGGTGAATGGTACTTGCCAATCACTTACCAATGAGCGCGCGATGTGGTTTAAACTAAGCTCTGATTTCAAGGTACTTATGATCCTTATTATCCCCAAGGACTAGTGTGTTGGCCAGTTGGCCCACATGTCGATCTAACCTTTATGGTGCTCCTAAAGTAACAGTGGTTAACACAGAGTGTAAGATATCAACTTACTAGTTTAGGGTTTTTTCTGAGGTATTGGACCAATATTTTTCTTAATTCTTCATGCTTGATTTTGATTCTCGTAGCAAATTCCAGTTGATCCGACAAAGCATAGAACATGCAATTTCCTGATCCTTCATTGTCGACAATTCTGAAGCCCTTGTCTGAAGAAATCTTCTTCAACTCAGTTTTTAGGTCTGTCTTGTCATTGACTTTGCTTGCATCGAGTTGCATCTGCTGAAGCTGAGAAATTAACTCAACAGAACCTAAGTGAACAAACGGATGAATTAACAGAGGATAAATATCACCATGCCCGTGATTTAAGAAGGAGCAGGCCTTCAATGCACACCAAAATGATAGTCCTTGTTTCCCAAAAACATGGTTTTCGATAAACTTACCTTCATTTTTTTGATTTCGTCCACACTTTTTCATCAAATAGCCCAAGACCTGTTGGAATTTAGGACTCAGAATACGTCGTACCTAGACGCAAGGTATCAAGAACAAAACTAGACAGTCAAAGACTGTATGTGGCCACTGGTGAAGTACAATTTTTATAGCATTAAAAAGGGCCAGAAGTTTTATAATGACGCTACCACGTAGAGTTACAGAATATTTGTCTCACATGCTAAACAGAAAACCTGCAGCATCCCGCATAATTATGAGTAGCCTGTCCCACAAGAGGAAGATAATTTAGTAATATATTGTCCAATTGGCATTCAACCAGTAATAAAATGGTAACAAATAAAAGTGTTTACGTATGATGCACGATCCTCGCAGTAGAGAGCGCTACTTATGCAATAGCGAAAATCAGACTTGAAAAAAATTAGGCCTGTACGGGCTTCGAACCACTGACCTCTGCGATACCAGTGTAGCGCTCTACCAATTGAGCTACCAAGCCAACTGGGAGCAGGTCGTTAAGTTGATTCGAAATAAACCCGTGATGATAAATCAGATACAATGAATATATGAAGTTCATATATTTTGAACTGCGGTTGTAGATACGTATGATGCACGATCCTCGCAGCAGAGAGCGCTATTTATGCAATAGCGAAGATACAATGAATATATGAACTTCATATATTCATTGTTTCTGATTTATCATCACGAGTTTATTACGAATCAACTTAATGGCTTGCACCCAGTTGGCTTGTTAGCTCAATTGGTAGAACGCTGCACTAGTATCGCAGAGGTCAGTGGTTCGAATCCCGTACAGGCCTTATTTTTTTCAGGTCTGATTTTCGCTATTGCATAAATAGCGCTCTCTAATGCGAGGATCGTGCATCATACGTATCTACAACCGCAGTTCAAAATATATGAACTTCAAATATTCATTGCATCAAATAACAGTATTGATAATAATAATGCTAATGATGTTAATATAACAATAATTTAAAGGGGCTAGCTTGAAAGACTCATGATTTCCAATCCTCTGGGCTCCAACATTGAAAGCCTATGCTTCTTTTAATTCGCAGATATTTATCTAAATATCCTCTAAATTTGAGCTTATCAAAGATATCAAGGTTGCGAGTTATTACCTGTTTTGTTGATAAAGTGTAGAGAATGGGATTAATGGCAGAGTTAACTGGCAGAACAAAGACTGCGATCCAAACTGCCAGGCCACCAGGTGTACGGAAGGATTTTTCCAAGAGAGACCTCAATGCAATCACCACAATAGGCAGCCAGCAGACACAGTCGGTAAGAACAATGAAGAACACTCTTTTAGCGAGCGAGGCCTCCCTCCTCAGATCGGCTGCCCTTTGCTTGGCTTTAATTCTCCTCTCTCTTTCGGTCCCTTGCTGAGCCAGGTGCCGGTTTGATGTGCAGGACTTGTAGATAATCATGGAATAGGCCACAATGACACAAAATACAAGGGTAAAATTTAAACCAACAAACATGGCTACAGAGTATTCCCAGCCCGAGGGCTTATCAGCGGAAAGCTGCAATGGGAGACATACAACTGATCTGCCATAAAAGTGGTGACTTTTTTGACGACTGCCGAAGTAGCTGATGCCCACCGTGGGAATAAATGCAATTAACCCACCAACAATCCAGAAAAGGTAACACATAAGCTGCGTATCCTTGATTGTAAGGGACTTTCCACGATAGGGGAACAGAATATTCTTAACCCGGTCGGCGGAGAGCAAACAAATAGTCATTACAGACACCTCACTTGACAACACGGCAATGGCACCTGTTATCTGACATAACCAACTTGAACGCCAGTTACCGTCATGCAAAAAATACTGCCCTGCCCAAATGGCATCCATCACACCTATTATGATGAGGTAGACACCCATCAGCCCATCAGACCCGGCCAAATGTATCAAAATGATAGATTGTATTTTGTTTTTCTTCTTTGTCTCCTTAAATACCAGCCGCCACACGATCACAAACACAGCACCAAGCAACGACATAATTCCGACCACCCAGAGACATATCCTAGGAGCTTGATTTCGGAACATATTTTGACAACTGGCGAAGCTGGACATGTCGATATAAGTATAGCTGCAATCTGCGTCCTCCTTCGTCAAATGGCAACACATCAGGTCGGTGTCCACCGTCCTATGGATCATAAAAATAATTCAAATGAATCACAAAATAGGAAAAAAATGGAAAATTTTGATTCGTTTCAATATCTGAATTTAAGACAATGAGAGGGTGATAGTAATACTCTACAAGCTGCCTTATTGTGTAAAGATAAATGAAATTTCGCAATTAAACATCTTTCGGCAGACATTGGTAATATTCCCTTGACTTACACTGTTATCAAATTTTCCATGTTCGAGAAGAAACCAGCGGGTAGTTCTCGCATTTCGTTGTAATGGAAGTAACTGCAACGAAAGCGATTCAGGTTAACAACACTCGCTAATTTTATCATTCAAGTTAACATCACTCGCTAATTTATCAATTCTTACTCCCCCCAAAAATTCAACTCTGAACTCTTTATGAGACTCCCTGGGATTCAGAGGGTAAGGAAGGAATGGAAGGGTATACCACTGTCAATGAACATATTTGCCTCAATTTCGTTGATATCCATTCAGTTAGGAGCCTAATTAATGGGTAAAATGGGCATTTTACAAGAAGAGAGAGCAAGTAAAAAATACCTCCTTCCCAACATACTCACACTTAACTCAATAAGAATAATTCATTACTGAGTACGTAAAACATACCTAATATCTAGAAATATGTATGCATACGATATTGCTGTAATCTGCTTGAGAGGGGACGTTTCATTGAGAGGAAGCCCTCATTTAGTTTTTCCCAAAAGTTTTCCAGTGGCCAGATGTGATAGATAAATAAATAAATAATAAATAAATAATTCAGCAATGGACATCCACTGGGTGGCTCTTTTTGTCCACTGTTTCCAGATGGAATTGGAATTTGGAATGTCGGTTTTTGCGGAGGGAGGAAAACCGGAGGACCCGGAGAAAAACCCTCGGAGCAAGGACGAGAACCAACAAGAAACTCAACCCATATGTGACACCAGGTCCGGGAATCGAACCCGGGCCACAGTGGTGGGAGGCGAGCGCTCTCACCACTGCACCATCCCTGCTCCCCAAATTGTTTTTAGGAGTATAACGTTCGCGCGTGACTAACGGTATAAACTGCGTATCCTTATTTTGACACTCGTAGAAGTATCTAGGGGTAATTCGAATAACGCAATTCTCAACTTGCATGATTCGGCAAACCGGATTACGTGTCCGTTAAGATGGGGGGAGGAACGCTAATCCGAGAATTAAGGGCACTGTCTCACTTGAATATGGAACTAACTCTCGGTGAGGTTTAAATCACACGTACTCCTTGAATAGTAACAGTTTGTTCATACTCACAGGAATCGAATACTTAGCGCGATATCTTTGAATTGCTCGTTGCTCACTGTGCGGATTTTGTTGGAAGAAAAGCTCCTGCAAATGAAAATAGAGTGAAAGAGTATCTCGTTAATGACAAACATGAAAACATAAATTTAGATTAGAAGAAGAAAGCAGAAAGAGTGACTGCGAGTGACCACGAGTGACCACCAATGACCACTTGTAACCCCGGCTGGTCGTGATTGACCACGAGTTACCATGAGTAACCACAAGTGACCAAAAGTGACCACGAGTAACTACGAGTGACCACAAGTGGGTAAGAGTGACCACGAGTGACCACGAGTAACCCCGAGTGACCATGACTGATCGCAAGTAACCAGGTGGTTAAGAATGAACACGAGTAACCCCCGAGTGAGCGACCACGAATGACCACTACTCTCCATGAGTGACTGCGTGTGATCACGAGCAACTAGCTAGTAAGCAGTAATCAAAGGAAGGGAAGGTTAGTGTCCTCATCCTGCTTCCCGCCACACGCATCTTTTAGCCAGTTTCAATCACCGGTTACCCTTCTCCGTCAACTTTTTGTCTTTGCGTTATTCCTTTTTTGTTGTCTTGTTTTATCCTTTTTTGTTCAATATTCAATGTATATTTGGCTATTTATAGCTCGCTTTCTTTCCATTAATTTCCGTAACCTCCACTCTTCTGTCTTAGCATTGTACGTGGAAACGGGCTCAATACATAACATTTTTGGCAGCGGAGTAGCTCTGGGACTTGCCCTTTAAATGAAGGAGGTGATACATTGTTTGCATTTGTCAGTCTCCGGAAATGGTTTATCTACGATGAAGTCACCTGATGACAAGGAAATTATGATGTCACTCAAATTTATGACTTCTTTACTTTGATGACGCGTAGTCACTGTTGGTTGTTAGTGGTCACTCGTGGTCATTCGCGTTCAATCGTGCTCACTCGTGTGTACTTTTGGACACAACCTTCTCAAATGACGGAGATGCAGAACATACCTACGAATGCGCTCTCACAAAGACCCCAGTTTTTTAGTGCTTCACTAGCGTCGATTAAAAATGATAATGAGAAACAGAGACTTACATGGACTGCATTGTTTTCAAGCCCTCAAAAACTCCAGGTGGCAGGTACTGAATATTGTTTTCATAGACAGCCCTTGAACGACAAAGAAGACAGATCGTGATCAGTTACAGAACAGAAAACTCTAGAAGAAAACTTCCATTGCAAAAAAACTTTTTAATAGCTTCATCGACTTTTCTATGTCTTATTACAAAAAATATCTTTATAAAATATGTGACACTCAAAGGTATATTGAAAATAGACAAAAACTTCACTGCAAGGGACTACTTCAAAATCAGGTGAAGGCAGTTAGCGGTTGCTTTGCTTAATTCGAGTATGATACGCGCTGCTTTATGTACAGGAAAGAATTGCTGCATCCTTTTAGTAATTGCCTTTCTTTTTCTGTCATGCGAAATCTAGTCAGTAAGATCAGAGTTGGCAGTTGCTATCCTGGATGTTATAGCAATTTCAGACTCGTGCAACGTTAGACGTGCCTGTGGTAACTTCCAAGGTGTCTGAATCTAAGCCTGCCAAAGCACACTAGTTTGAGTAATTCAACGAAACCTTGAACAAAAGTGGGTGAGGGAATAGGTCTGTTCACCCTTTGTATTACGCCACACATACAATTTACTCATAATTTAGAGAATTACTTATTACTCAAGTAACAGGCTAGTTTTTTATGATTGTTTTTTTTCTTTCGCAATCACATGCCCTCTAATAGAAAATTTAAAAGAACCAAATGATAAGACAGCAGCTCATGAACTTTAATTACAGATAATCAGATACTCCTGTAAGATTACAAATTATTACAAGTGCGTTTTGGTATAGTTTCCGTCCGCCACCTCGATCAGATGAAATTACTGGGTTTACTTACAGGTCTTTCAATTTGGACATGCCTTGGAACTGATTCGGTGACAGGGTTACGAGGCTGTTGTTTTCCAGGTATCTACGCGATAAATTAAATGCACGAGACGCTCTGTATCACTATTACATATCACTAAGGAAATACCTTGTGACTCTTGTGAGCTTTCGCGCGAAAACGTGATATTTTCACTGCGTAGATAACATGTTATCTTCACACGTGAAAATGTCGCCGCTACCATGGTTACATCAATTGCACCTTCTGCTGCTAAAGCGAAATGGCTTGTTTTTTTATTTCTGTTTATATATTGAAGAGAATATTTCATGGCCAATTGGAGATACGAAATTTATCTTCTCGTGTTGAGAAGTATTTTTCAAAACTCGAGGAGAAATTTGAATGACATGTACCGATCCTCCATATGTTGCGCAACCTTAAAAATATGATCCTAAATAATTCTTTTCTTCTGCGTCTATTTTAAAACTTACTGCATATTTCTTCGATTAAAATCTTAAACAAACTTTTAATTAAGTCATCATAATAATCGGTAGACTATTTCAAAGCTTCCTGTTTATTAATGCTTATCAAAAAAAATACGTACTAAACCAGTTTTTATCAGAAATACGAATCACTTACAAAGTTTCTATCTCGGAGAGATTTTTGAACTTTGGTAAACGCTGAAGTTTGTTACTGGAGAGAAAGCTTAGAAATAGAAAAAGAAATTGAAAAATAAGTCAGCTGCATTGGTATTTGAGACTCTCGGGTAGTTTTTTAATTATGTTATAAAAGGGACCTCGTGAATTAATAATAAAACCTAACTGTTTATTTGCAAGGTAATACATCTTAACTGAGTACCTAAACCTTTTGTTCCTGATCTTGAAAATGTGAAAAAAGGTGGCAATTATACTTCCGCCGTTTAAATGCTCGTTTGCATATAATGATATGAATTCGCTTCTCAGTATTGGGAGCATCGAAACTATAAATTCAAAGTGTTGCTCATATCGCAAATCAATCTTGTGTGAGTTGAACGTAATATTTTAAAATTCCCCGATCGCTTGGGAAAAAAAAATTAAGTCTCCAGTAAAGTGTAGAAAAGCACTGAGCGAAGCAGTCGAAATACTTTTTTAATATATATTTTCTTTTAACTGCTGTTAATGACCAAATCCACTAAAGTTAGCATTATATACCGGGATGGAGAGGTGTTCCAATCTCTCTCTACCTTGTTATATACTAAAGCTAGTGAAGCGTATGGAGCAGTTCACCTTGATATGTGGATTGTAATAGTCGAACAATTTTAGCATTCTCTTTGGAGTGGCCACAATGGAAAGGTTAATTCCACTGAAACCTCTACAAAAATGTATGGTTTCACTCGCTGTAAAAGTGTACAAAATGCCACTTACAGCCTTTTCATCCGAGTAAGGTTGCCAAGAACATCTTCAGGAAGACGCTGAATTTTGTTGTTTGACAAATCCCTTGGAGTATTTTTTAAGACAGATAGTAAGCTAACATTTAAAAACATAAATGCTACTTAAAAAATGGGACAGTCCCACTCCTTAACGTATTTTATGTCCTGGACAGGAGCCAAAATCGGCTAGCTGATAGGACAATACTAGTTATTTTTTTACCAAGTCAGGAATTAAAAGCTTTTTTTTGTGTCTCTGAAAATATCAAATATGACCAAGAATATCCAATATGCAGCAACTGGACCCAAAGGACATATTTATTCCATGCATAATGCTGAGACCTTCTGTTAAGAGAAAAATGGCAGGGACTCGAGACACTGCATTGTATTATGACATCTATCACTTGACCACTACTTTACTCTCTATCGCTAATTTCTAAACGAGGCTCAATTCGAGAAATCTAGATATAAGTGATTTTTCAACTAATTTTGGACCACCAACGATGAATGTTAATATTTGACCGGTAAACCTTTTCCGAAAAAAGAAAAGTCCTACTTACAGTGTTTTTAGGTTGGTATTACTGCTTAGTATCCCTCGAGGCAAACTCTGCAACTGATTGTAGGACAAGTCCCTAAGAAACGTGTTTGGAGAATGAGATGATTGCCAGTTAGGAAAAAATAAACAAACAAACAAAGATTCAGTTAACAAACTCCATTTCCAAGAGGGAGGCTTATTATCACTACGTGCAGCTCTGTCATTTCTATCTTGAATGACTGTTTTTCTGCGGAAATTCTGATCCGATAGAATTTAGGTAGTTGCAGTTCATTATTCAGCTGCAGTAATCGTTACATAAGTAACGAACATTACGTTCATACATTAGAAAGAAACACATTGGGAGATACTGGGTTGATAGCCCCTTATCGATTTTGCTAGTAAAAGTAGCTTAGTATGCTATTAGCAGTGCTCGATATTTTTCAAAATTAAGCTCAAAATTATGCTGGTTTTTGAAAACTATGCTACTTTCCTTATTGTATGCTGAAAAATAAAAAAAAAAAAAAAAATTAATCCAAAAACCATTTCCTCTCAGGCAGCCGTTCTCCTTCTAAGTTACTCGACGCCATCTTGTTGCCTGTAAAAGCGGGAACTGGGACCGACGCAATCTTTACTTCCGGGTTGCCCAGTCCTCTAGACGACTAACGACGCAGTATTGCGGTAACCTACTTCCCCTCCCCCAGACGAATGAAAATGTACTAAACTATGAACTTGAAAATAGTCAATCTTAGACCCTGACCAAGCAAGTTACGACTCTGGTAACGTTTCCTTAAAAAAAAAAAAAAAAATATGCCGATTATGTTAGAAGTGCTACTTTTAGAAAATGTGCAAAAATTATACTGGTTTTTCCAAATCATGCCAAAACAAGCTAGCACAGTCGATAAGGGCCTATGGGTTGAACCTGGAAAAAGCTCTTCACATCAGTTTCTAAATCTTATTACCGGCTCATAATTTTTTAATTGATGCACCCCTCTCTGAAAAAAAACTAAATTTAACGGTCCAGTATTTCTTGGTTTTCATTGCGTTTAATATATAAATACACCTTATTCGATGGTTCATCAAAATCATAAGACAGGCGGATGATTTGTGAGTTGCATAGTATTCTTCTGAGTCCCGTATTGACGAGGAAAGATGCAACCATTAAGCAAATTGTTTGCTCGTCGAATAGGGTAGAAGGTAAATTCAGTTGGCTATAACTCAGAATTTTCTTCTTTTTTTTTTGCTATTGGACTAGCTTTGGACAACTGTTTAAGGAAGTGAGTGCAAGCACACTGGTGAAGTCATCTGGACACGCCCAATGTCACGTGAACCAGAAAAAAAAACCCTACCGTTCTCGTGAAATATACGATTTGACTTTTTCAAGTCTCTTTTAATATGCACAATCAGTAGGTGTAATTAAATGGCGACGAGTGAACTTAAGAAATAATTTTACGCGCGTTTTGTCAAAATTCTGATAGGCCTTTAGGCGAGGGAAACTATCAGAATTTTGACAAAACGCAAGTGAAATTATTTCCTAATTTCACGAGAAAACCATTTGATTACCTTTTAATATGGTGGGTGACGAATTACGTTCACAACAGTAATTAATTGTTTTTACTGGTTTATTCTATCGAAAACCGAGAACATGAAGAAGGATATAGTTTTCGTTTAAAGCATTCATTATTGTTAAGTTCGTAATTTTCTGAGTTTCTTCACAAGAAATACCTTTCGAATTCTTCGTGGCTGTTAATAATTCTCGGCCGCTTCTTTTAATTTCGTAACTTCTTCACGGGGTCACCGTCTTAAATCTCGACGCCATCTTGGCTCTGATCGAGATACAAGAGATGTTACCATGGCAATTTTGTAATTTCACATGTGAAATTAAAAATTAACCCTGAAATTTTGTGCCAAGATTAAGGAGTAATTTGTCACCTATGATATTACAAGCAAGTATTTTGCGTTGGCATGAAAACGTGCAAAATGAGAGCAAAAATGTGTCGACAAGTTTTCTTTAGCGAAATTTTTCTGTTTTTCATCTATTTGTTTTTATTATAACTTTTTTTTAATTCGCCAGATGCATGCCTGCGCTTCAAGAAAGATACATTCTCTGCTCGCTTTTGATTTACTGCAAAGGAAAGAAAGTGCAACTTTTCATTTCCGAGAGCAGTAAGTTTTTGTTTGCAACGAAAGAAGTGCTTCATTCTGCAATTCTATAATTTTGGAACGTCCTGTTTCTGAATCACCCACTCAACAACTGATCAACCTCCATGACCTACCTTTTGACTACTGGCTGCGATCAATAAATTAAGAACGAGAGGTTTTCAAAACCATATCTTGAACGACTTAGTGAGAACTATAGATCACATACGAATGACATGCAGAGGAAAAGAATATCAATATTGACAAAAAATTTCGAGAAAAAATCCCAACATTTGTTCTTACAATTCTTCCAAGGTTGACATTCCTCGTAGAAGGTTTCTAGGCAACTTTTCCAGCCGATTCCCACTCAACCGCCTACATTAAGACACGATAAAAATAATCTGACTGGACGAAAGATGTATTAAACGAGAGTTTTCATCGTAACAAATCGGTGATGGGATACGAATTGATTCTCACAGAAAAAAAAACTGCAAATAAGGTGAATGCAGAAACTGGAGACTGAAAAATAGAATTCTATATTAGACAGGGTATTACTCTCCACAATTGCTTAAATCCCGCGAGGATCAGTTTGTCTTTCCTCATAGTTCATGTTTTGTCTGTAACCATTTATTTTGAATGCACCGAGCCATTAATAATAGTCTGAAAAACAATTTTTTTTTTAACTCTCGCTCTCGCTCAGAATGACCTGCCGTCATTACAGATTATCTGCTCATTATCTAACCTTGCAAACTCTCTCATCAGAGAAAGATTTCAAATGTAATGTAGCCGGTTTTAATCTAAAAGCTATTTCCTAAACCCTTCTACCGCCTTTCCAATTAAGAACGATTCATAACTCAATACTGTTCTCGTGGACGGGATCACCGAATTTTCACATTGACATGTATACTCCCCTACAAATCTGCACGGCGTGTTTTTAATCGACAGCAAAACGCTGGGCTTAGGCGTAGGTCTGTCCATCGTGAATTTTACTTTCTCGTCTTTTTATGTTTCCTTCACTAAGCTGAGTTTCTTGATTGTATTCTGTACCTTTTAGCACGATGATGCACCAAGGTAATCGTGCGCTAATTAAAGTTTAGTTCGGTGAGCTTATCACGATGTGTAGATCAACCGAGCGTAGAAATTTCTCTGATTATCTAACCGTAGTTTAAATCTACAACATGATCAACATTTTTTGGCGCGATTTGCTGGTTTCAGTCTGAATTAATGCGTAAAATTGTTGTTCAGGTTAAAGACTAAATGTGGAAACTATTCCCCCGAAAAGAGCCCTCCACCTATTGTTTATGTTTCACGGGTCACCATCAGCCTCACTAAGGAGTTTGCGCGCTTAGTTTATTTTCCACCATGGCGCCGGAAATTTTGAAACAATTTCAAAAGTTACTTACCGGTTCTTACTTCCTAATTTTTTTATTTGGTCATCCAATATACAACAACTGATTTTCGTCAAACAACATGGCGTTTCCAAAAACCTCTGGGTCCATCTGAGGTAATCTCAGTTGTACATGCGCACGAAGTAACGTGCCACAGGACACTACTCTCTCTAAATAAGCACTGATAATTAATTGATAGGACCATTGTGTTAAACACCTTTGTTCTTCCCCTTGATCAACTCTTGGTCACAACGCTTGATACCTGAACCCGTACGATAGTGTATAACTTGTTCGAGATCTCCATACTGAACTTTTTTTAATTTCTGTAGTGCTGGTCATGCTTAGATATGTTAAAGAATGTGTCGCACAACCGATGTAATTAGCACCTTTGCAAAAGCACCCAGAAATGCACAGGCACAAACATGTAACTAGCAGGTTCGTACTCGCTCATACGCCTTCCATTGTACATAAATCCATAAACGTCAGGTATTTGAATGATTTAACTTTAGACACAAAACTACAAGTTTTCAAATGATGTCATTTTCACGCTACGAACATATGCTATTCCGTGAGAAACAAATGAGAGAAAGTAACTTCCCAAATGTGTGCTTGATAAAGTGCCAAATAATTGCTACTCACAAATATTTTAACTGATCTTGCCCTGTGAAGAGATCTTCAGGTAAGTCTTTTAAGTTGTTGTTTCCCAGCCACCTGTAAAACGCCATATAAACCATGTAAGGGAAAATAACACTCCAACTAACTTCTACTTTCAACACACTACTGCAAACACTTCAAAACTAGTTTCGTCTACGACCTCGTCAGTTGATGACAAACAAAAACGCATTTAAAAACCTGTAAAACGCATTAAAGTTAAGTATCCATTAGCATCTGGAAAGATTTCGACTCCTTGTATTGACTAAAACTTGGGAGATGTGTAACTTTTTGCCTACGGTTACAATGAATATATGAAGTTCATATATTTTGAACTGCGGTTGTAGATACGTATGATGCACGATCCTCGCAGTAGAGAGCGCTATTTATGCAATAGCGAAAATCAGACCTGAAAAAAATCACGCCTGTACGAGATTCGAACCCCTGACCTCTGCGATACCAGTGCAGCACTCTACCAATTGAGCTAAGAAGCCAACTGAGAGCAGGCCGTTAAGTTAATTCGTAATAAACCCGCGATGATAAATCAGATACAATAAATATATGAAGTTCATATATTTTTAACTGCGGCTGTAGATACGTATGATGCACGATCCTCGCAGTAGAGAG